AAATTGGATTCCCCAACCCCCCCCCACCCCAACAAAAAAAAATCATTTTAGGGTCAGGGAAGGGGGGGGGGGGGTTGTCACACTTAACGGATCACAGAAATGTCAGTGAGTTTTAAAACTAAAACTCTAAACCATCACGCCTTTAACTAGACGATCAGCACCAACGTGTGAGTGTTGGTTTATGGAAAGAGGATCTTCAGAGATTCATGACGTCATACTGATGTAGGGAAACGGTCGGTGTGTACAGCAAAGTCTCATGTGTACAGCAAAGTCTCATGTGTACAGCAAACTCTCATGTGTACAGCAAAGTCTCATGTTTACAGCAAAGTCTCATGTGTACAACAATAAGGCATTCTTAAAACAATATCTTCTTTAAACCTTTTCATACTCTCTTACCATCATCTTAAAAACATTTTATTACTCTATGACCATCATCTTAAAACCTTTAAATATCCTCTGGCCATCTTGTTAAAACCTTTTTTTACTCTCTGAACTGGAGTTGGAGACTTATTTATTTTCCTTCTGCTGCTATGAATGACAATTTTTCTGGCTGCAACTTGTAAAATGGACCTGGTATTTAATATAAAATTATTTTAGCTGACATTTGTATCACGGGCCAGAAAATTTAGTACACAACTATTCTGGCTGTCACTGATAATGCCCAAAAAAACCCATTTTACAAATATTTCGGCTGACAATTGAACAATGGACTAAAAATTTAGTGCATAATTTGGCTTTAGTGAAATATTTTAACCCGCAAAATCTGAGGAATCCTTGATGCTTATATTCCTCCCCCCTCCCCCCCCCCCCTATTATGTCCAGTTGAATAGGTAATATGACGTCATTCTGTAAACATATAAACATATCATACTTTCTTCAGGTAGTCGTTCCTCAACGACATAGCCCAACAGTTCTCAGGTACTCACTCATCAATGACCTAGTCAAACATTCCCCAGGTACTCACTCATCAATGACGTACTCAAACATTCCCCAGGTACTCACTCCTCAATGACATTGACACACTTTCCTCAGGTACTCACTCCTCAATGACATAGACAAACTATCCCGGAAAATGCGTGGCATCAAACCAGGCGCCCCAACGACAGGTCTACATGGACTCAAGCAGTCAGCCGTCACGGGTAGGTAGGCTCAAGCAGTCGGCCGTCACGGGTAGTTGATCTCAAGCAGTCGGCCGTCAAGCGTAGTTGATCTGAAGGAGTCGGCCGTCACGGGTAGGTGATCTCAAGCAGTCGGTCGTCACGGGCAGTTGATCTCAAGCAGTCGGCCGTCACAGGTAGTTGATCTCAAGCAGTCGGCCGTCACAGGTAGTTGATCTCAAGCAGTCGGCCGTCACAGGTAGTTGATCTCAAGCAAGTCGGTCGACACGGGTAGTTGATCTCATGCAGTCGGCCGTCACAGGTAGTTGATCTCAAGCAAGTCGGCCGTCACGGGTAGCTCTACATGGTTGTCAAATCTGTTGGACAAACATTTTATTGCATCTTTAGCCTACCAAGCAATTTCTCAAAAAGTTTTCACACTTAAATTTTATAATCCAGGATCAATTAAAAAGGTTGTTTAAGACTAACTATTATTGTTTGTGGAGGTATAAATATTATGATCGTCAGTATAGCTGACAAATGTAGTATAGTTTCTAGCTGCTATCATCTTCCCAGGGAGTAGCCAGGTTTGCCCTATCGAAACAATGGCCATAGTAGTGAATTATAATTTTAATATTGTGTAACTGATATACCAGATACTTCAACATCATCTTCATTCAGCAAATGAAATAGAAACATTGTTAGTGTTAGCAATAATTGCCATACGCTCTCTCTGTCTCCTGACAGCTACTTGCATTTGTAAAACCTTTTTTGCTGAGGAGCAGGTAATAAGCAGCGATGTTATTATTGTAACTCACATTACTTTCCCCTAACCCTAAAAATATCGAATTCCTACTCTATCAATATCATTAATCTTGAGTGCACATGCCACTTGAACCTTGTCATTGTTCCATACCTGCAACATGATCGCAAACATACTTTCCTAGTCATTGACAACAAACAGAATCTACAGGCGAAGAGAGGCCAATTTTTTATTTCTCTTGCACTAACAAATTGTGCTAACATTCTGACCAGCCATCTGCAGTCTACAAACAGACACACATTTAATAAATCTTATATTGTTAAAAACCAAAAAAATTATATAACTAATAACACTCATTAAATTTGTTAAAATAATGTAATAAACAGTCAATTTCTTGGATTAAAATTTTATTAGAGAAAACATGATTGTTGTTGTCAACTAATCTACCCCCCCCCCCCTTTTTTTTTTTAAACCCAAGCAGGAAATGGTGGACTACCGCTTCCTTAGCAACCATGTCAACCTGCTCCAAGCGGACGCTGAGCACATGCAGAAGAAACTAGACTGGAAGGATGATGAGATCAAGCACTTGCAAGCTGAGCTCGCGGCCCTCAGAAAACGCTACAAATGGTACAGCTCTCACTGTACTGTAGTATTCTTACATCTTTATCTTACTTAGTAT